ATTTTTATCAGTCTGAGCATAGTACTTAGTAATTGTTTATATTATATTTCAGTTTGACCAGGCATCAGATATCAGTACTGCCTTTTCATTTTCACGGATCAGGTGGGGACTCAGACTAAGTACTACATTGATTATAATTACGCTACCATGTTTGAGGTATGTATTATCAGTATCCGCTCGGAATGGTCGCCGGTCCATTCTGGGTTCTAGTGGTCTTAATCTGCCCACTAGAGTGTGCACATGGTGTCCGGCTTATGCTGACAGATGTTCAGTTTTCAGTCAGGTGATTTATATCACGAGATAAGTATCAGATTATTCAGTACCGGTATCAGTTTCAGTTCAGTAGCAGTTCAGTTATATATGCCAGGATCATGATATTGTTATTATTTTCACTGTTTACTTTAGTATGAGTTTCTGCGGAGCACAGTGGATTAGTGCTCACGCCCCCACATTATTCATGTTTTTCAGGTCACAGAGTCGGAGCGGAGGAGTGAGCGGGCGACCGGTTCAGGACATTTGTTTATATGTGTATATTTTTTTTGGCTTCACTATGATTCCGTTACAAGTTTTCAGTACACTAAACCAGCTTTTGACCCGACGTTAGTCGGTTAATATATTATATAACCGTTTTATTATTAAACTCAAAATTAACGGTTTTTCAGATAAGTCAGATTTTTGCGGTAACACTCCGAATCAGATTTCGCAAAGGAAATATTTTAATTTTGATTTAGAAAATTTGCGAAAAGCGCGCTCTGTAATTCATGAAATAGCGGGGTGTTACAGATGGTATCAGAGCACGTTTCTGCGTCTCTGAAAGTTTTTACAAGTCAGAAATTTTGCAAAAACCTGAACCGTCACACTCACGCCTCGCTGACTACATGTAAGTGCTGATTTATGTTTTAAGTTATAAACAAATTACTATGTCTATGCTCAGAAATACCTCAGTTATGACTTAGTTAAGATGCTCGAATCATGTTCAGGATCAGTAGTCAGTATACTCAGGATTTAATGTCAGTATTTCCTAGTCATGTTTAGAAACTCGTCAAGAGATTTGTGCGCTTTATTGATCAGCTTCCAATTGCTATGTATGATGTTATCAGTAAAGATGTTCGAATCAGAATTCAGAACTTTAGAAAGGGGCTAAGTTGAAAAACTCTAGATTCAATTCTAGAT